TTTTTTTTTTTTTTTTTTTTTTTTGCATTTTAAAGCTATTTGGAAGCTATTCTATTTCGAAAGCTACAGAATTAAAATAACGAAAATTTTATTGCATAGAGTCGTTACTGACCAATGCTACCAAAATCAGTTACGTCCTTGACATTTCCTTATTTCGAAAGCTCTTCCTGAGCTTTGAATCCCAAAACGACTTCCAAATAAATAGCCCATTTTTGCTTCGCTTTTCACGCACAGAGGTTTCACTGCGAGGCTATGTGCTAAATTAAATGCATTCTTTTCTCCTGTCACCAATCACCGAACATTATGAACACTAGTCTTACACTTACAATGAGACCTTTGTGTGTGACAAGCCAAGCATATCTTGAAAGTGGACTATTGTTCTCGAGAAATCCGGTGTCGAAAATCTTTACGAGGAAAATTACAATAGGAAAATTTGGGTTACGCTTTTGCCGACATAGGACCTCAGACAGCATTAGGGTCGTATTTGAAGAAGTACATTTGCATTGATGTTCCAAGCGGCTCTGTATATGTCGTGGTGTATTTGTAGATTAAGGCGTCATCCTCTTCTTGGATCGAGGCAAATTTGTGATCATTAAGGCTAGCTAAAGGAAAGATTTAAAAATTAATTACATATATTATGTCAACATAACCTTGCAACGGGTAGAGCACAAGTGTACGATTATGCAATTATTTTGCAAATGACAGAATTGTAAGTGGTCGCCTAGTGAAGCCGACCTGCTTTTCATGCCAAAAATGCTGGCAACTTTGATTGATCGCCATGGCTGGTTACCAGTAATTTATTCACGGACTGAAAAACCCGTGGGTCAGCTGCAAGCCGTCGGTAAGTTTGGCGCGAAGCCGAGAGAGATGAAGTCACTCGGTCCTGAATGCCTACAGCCAAACAGAAGTGAGTGAGGCAACTGAAGATTTCCAGATAATGATCACGTGAGTACTAAAGGATGAGCACGTGATCACTAAAGGATGATCACGTGAGCACTAAAGGATGATCACGTGAGCACTGAAGGATGAGCATGTGAGCACTAAAGGATGATCTAGTGAGTACTAAAGGATGATCACGTGAGCACTGAAGGATATGAGCACGTTGTCACTTTGGTTTATTTATTGACTATGGTCAGGTGAAACTGGATCAGATGATTACTCGACGATGATCACATGATCACTTGATGGAGATCATGTTATCACGCGATAATAGACAATTCCCGAGATGCGTGAGCGCTGTCAAAAGTATTGCGTGCTCAGATTCGAAAACGAGGCATTTTAGGGCAAGATCTTACACGCGCTATGGAAAACACACACTAAAAAATTTCAAATCATGTTGAAGCAGAATTATTCGTGCTGACTGTACTTACCTAGATTGACAAACCCGTTTATCAATGACTGTGATATAGCAACAGCTTTAGCAGAATGAAAGATGTTAAGAACTCTGGACCACTCAAACTGTGCCTTGCTTGGATGCCAGTGAAGTAAGAAGAATGGATAGCGACGGCCTGTCAGGCAAATCAAAAGAAAAACTCACTCTACAATACTACCACAGGCTACCCGCACCTACTCTTTAACTGCTAATATTACCTTCTAATGTTGAGATAAATTCCACTCCCTCTCTGTCGTATGAAGTGGTGGTGATGCGGAACAAGCTGTATAGTCCTTTTATTTTACGATATGTCTGTAGAAAGTATGAGTAGAATGGAATCAGTGAAAGTTCAAGGCATTTGTTACCTGTGGTGGGACCCTCCCTTAAGCTCTGTCATTCTTACTCTTACATTACGTTACGCATGCGCAGTAAGAATGAAAGGATTCTGGGGTCGAGAGTGCCCTGATTAAAAAAATAAAAATAAATAAATGGGAAGTTCTTATATAGCACATTATTTGCGTGTTTCACAAYCTTTGATTTTTCAGTGAAGGATCTTTCGGGCTGCTTTATCGGGCGCCATTGGCTGCTAGTCAGTGTGTGATCAAGTGATTGGTAATAGTATTATATACCAACAGATATAGGCTGTTGAACCAGGAGACAATCCCCTACTCTTATGCGAATAGTCTAATGGCAAGTTCTTGTTTAATGTCCCCCAAATACTGCTTAAGGAGCAGCAGTAAGGGGGACTCGCGATCACCATTCGGAATCGCCCGGGAATTACCCGTGTTTATGCACTAGCGTCCCCCGCGGGAATTACCCGTGTTCTGTTATATGTTGCGCGAATGTTTAGAAGAGTGTATGGATTGTCACTGCCTCGACAACCATGTTTCGACTACCTTTTTTTGGTGTCCCCAAAAGAGCGTATTGCGTGTTCCCAAAAGAGTGTATGCGTGTTCCCAAAAAGATGTCGATCCATATTTCCGAAAGATGTCCCAAAAAGATGTCGATCCATATTTCCGAAGGATGTCCCAAAAGATGTCGATCTTGGTTTGTGCAAAGAGTTCGAAAATACATCTTATTTTTCTTGTTGTTTGTTAAGGATTAACAATAACAAAACAACAAGAATAATAGGAACCCCTTTAGAAGGGCCTTGCAGCCGCGATAAATACAAGAAAAGGAGTGAACTTAGAAGGGAGGTGAATCACCTCTTATTCACAGCCTTAGAAGAGTGTATGGATTGTCAGTGCCTTTTTCTGTGTCCCAAAAGAGTGTATGCGTGTTCCCAAAAGATGGGAGAGGAACGATCCGTTCCCCTATCGACGCCGTGGTAGTTGTGGCAAAGTCGCTACGTAGCCCGGTAGGCGAATTCCTCGTATTGTCTTTTGCGCTCGGTAGAGACCTTCCAAGATTTCCAAAAGTATTTGTATTGTCCGCTGTTTTCCCAGCATGTATGCAGCTATACCCGTAGCTATGTACAAATACATGCTATATCTGTGGACAAACAGGTATCTACCATATGGATCCATAGTGTTTGTCCATGGAATACCCGCAAAAAATAGACTGGACATCTCCGCCGCCTTTGTACTGCAAAATAGGCAGGGAAAAGACCACCGCAAACAAAAGAAAGGATAGATTGGTGCACGTGTCCACGTAGGACATTGCAAAGTAGGTTTGCGCAACCCCTACCTTTCTACAAGGGCCTTCCAAAGTAGGTCTTCGTATTTCGTGTTGTTTTGTTGGTGCCTAACAACAACACGAAAACCTTTTTTTGGACTCTTTGCGCAACATCTATCGGCTACTCCATCTCTGGAATCCTTCCCTTTGGTGGCTCCCTAGGCTTTGGTTCGTGTGGAATATATTTGTATACAACTTTGGGTTCTTGTCTGGCGGCCCAGACAAGCGCTCCAATACCCAAGACGGCGAATAGCACATTCCCAG